GGGGGAGAACAGACTGTGGAGGGAGTTGCAGATTTGGAGATCAGAGAAATTCACCAAAAGGGTGGTTTTGGTACAGGTCCCCTTGACCGAATGTGCTCCCACCTCTTTCCCCTGTTTTTTTTCCCTTCTTCCAAGAATTTGGCAAGATGGAGAATTTTAACTTTCGTTGGGGGCGAAAGGGAAATTGATTTTCAGGGCAAGTTTTTTTCTTCTTTTTTTTTGGGGGGGTCATGAGGAGGGCACGTGATGACCACGTGAGAGGCTGTTGTTGTCTTGTAGCTTTTTCATGTGCTTTTGGGAGAAATTGGGTCGCTTCCTCTTTGGAGGCTCTTTGTCTTGTTTCTTGGAGATGGGGGGGAGGGACAATGGGAAGATGATGATCCGTCCTTGATGAATAATGGCCCCCCTTGGTGAACTGGCAAAACCTGGCGCCCATGCCTACCTTGGATAAAGATTGAAATTCTAGAAGAGAGAGAGAGAGAACAAAATGAGGAGAAATTCCCAGAAATATAGGCAGAAAATTAGGAATCCGAAGATAAATCCGAGCAAAGTATGATTTCGAGAGTCGGGACGCTCCCCCGACCGGAATGGTCGCTTCATTCACTTACTTAAAAGATTACGGTTTTAAGGGGTATTCGATCTCTCTATTTAATCTCGAGAGGAAGGGCAATTGCGCAGCTGGATTACACGGCAATCAGAGTCCGAATTTCGTCGAGGCAGCTACATTTCTACCTGTTGATCGGTTTTGCTATACATGTGTTCTACCTATTATTGGTGCCAAATAATCGTCCCGAGAAACGCTATATTTGGAAATCATACAGGCTATATGGGGTCACCATATTTAGGTAAAGTCCAATAGGAATAGGCCCTGAGGAACAGAATGTGGAACCACCATGTGATGGATTCCCAAAGGTTGATAAGAACACAAGGATGTATTTTAAGTTAATAATGTACGGATTGTACTAATTCAAGGAAGGCAATAAAAAATAAAATAACGTAAAAATGAATGGCACCAAAAAAAAAAATTTGAAGGAAGGAAGGAATTTTGAGACATGATGATCATGGCGTGTCGGAAGCAGCTCCAATTCGAAGGGTCTCCCTCGATTGAACGGTGCATTTGAGACATGGCGCCTTTTGGGCTTTCCTTGTCGTGTCGTTTTCTGAGGAACCTGTCGTTTTGGACCCCCTACTACCCCCCCGTTGTGTGTTTTGGCCCACTCGATCAGGCCTCATCAGTCCGTTTCCTTTCCCCCCCCCCCCCCCTTCCTTTTCTTCTCTTTTTGAGACAACCTAAGTTTGTTTACCGGGGGCCTCGCTTCGCTAAACGTGGAAATAATACTAATTCATTCGAGGCACGCACTTCAATATTTTCCCTATTCATCATCGTATCGGCACGGTGCGATTTTACATCGTTCGACGCCCCCCCGGTATTACTCGCCGGGTCAGATATAAAATCCCCTGAGAAGCGTCGTGTACGAATTGGCTTCTAATTTTCACTTGATCTAAATCTCGCGGCGCATGCAGTTTGGCTTTATTTTTAAAACTTGAAACGGCCGAAACTTTCGGAACATATAAAAATCCGCGTGTTGATAGTCGTACGATTTTTCGAAACTTCGATAAGTCTTTTTTAAAAAGTCGACGGGAAAATGCAACAAATATAAATAAACAAACAAACAAACACAATCTTAAGACATCACTCGACTCCACCAACTATATATCGTGAAATTAAGCGACGTTCAATCGAGTTTGGCCGTTCTACCTTAATTTGTTGTTTGATTCGCCTTTCATCCAAACACAAAAGTGCCCATGAAAAGAGGGGCAATTCTAGTTTTTCTGGCAAATGCGCCGGTCGAGTCGATAATACGACTAGGTTTCGAGTTCGCGGGGCTGTCAATAAAAAATGCGAGATTGTAAGCTCGATGCCTTGCATCAAACTCTCTTGCAATTACTAATCAGTGCACGAAGATTGCCCTATATATATATACATATAAACCATACTCTCTCCTTTGCATGGTGAACTAAAAACGAAAGAAAGTGGGGGGCACGATGACACGACACATCCCTAACCTCATTTGTGAACACTGTTCTGTCTCACTGGAAAAAGGAAAGCTTCTGCCCCCTTTTCTTTTTCTCCCTGCTGACAATTGATTAAAAAAAAAGAGAGGAAGAAAATAGCAAAAAAAATAATGAAAGAACAGGGAAGGAAAAAGGTGGGGAGTAAAGATGAGAGTGGCAAGCTATCATGGGAGGGCAGCCTCCTTTGGTCCCTTTTCCCGGCACTTCTCTAATGATAATTGGCACAAGACCACATGCATGGAAATACAATTGCCAGGATGGCAGACAATCTTCTGTTTTTCTCTTCTTCTTTTTTTTTTATAGAAAAATTCACAAAAATCCTAAACTATGCGATACATTTATTCCAAAAATTTTTTGTTGTGACATGAAAAATCAAAACTTGTACTCACGTGACACATTTATCCAAACTTGTATCGATATGATATATTTATTCCAAAATTTTTTTTTGACACCAAAAACTCTAAACTTGTATTCGTGCGACACATTTTAGTGTTTTTGATGTCATAAAAAAATAATTTGGGATCAATATGTCAGTTTGGAGTTTTTTGTGTCACAAAAAAAATTTGGAGTAAACGTGTCATATGGATATAAGTTCGGGGGTTTTTTGTGTTACAAAAAAAATTTGATGTAAATGTGTCGAGTTGGCATAATTTAAGGTTTTTGGTGGTTTTTTTTTTTTAGCTTTCCCTTTTTCTTTTGGTAGCCCGCTATTTTTCATTAATTTTATTTTCAGTCCTTCACCTCCTCCTCGGATACCTTCTTGAAAGAGACAGAGGCCAAGAAATTAGAAATTAAAGAAATTAAAGAACAGAACAGAACAGAACAGAACAGAGAGAGAGAGAGAGAGAGAGAGAGAGAGAGAGAGAGAGAGAGGGGCTCTTCCTCGTGGCCTGGTTGGGGTCGTTTCACCTCGTCCTCTCATGCTTTAATTTTGAACGCTTCCATATTGCGTTCTTTTCTCCTGTGATCTCCAACTTTCGGTAGTCGTCGGGCGTGGCGTTTCTTCTTCGCAGGCGACGACTAATTTAAAAAGGGTCTTCGCTGTCGTAATTGTGTAGAAATATACGGGCGTGTTGTGTTCGACATAGAGAGAGAGAGAGAGAGAGAGAGAGAGAGAGAGAGAGAGAGCAAAAGAGGGGGAAAGCTTTGGGTGGTGCAGACTGCAGAGGCCAAAACAAGAGAGAGAAAATAATGGGAATCGGGATATTAATTGGAGGGGGGGTGGAAAGGTGTCAGGGAGCGAGGTGAGCAGAGCAGAAGCAGCAGTTATCATTGGACCTGCAAACTTTCATAGAATTGATGGAACTCGCATCTCTCTCTCTCTCTCTCTCTCTCTAGATTTGCAAAGCAGAGAGAGAGAGAGAGAGAGAGAGAGGATTGAGGTTTGGGGGAAGGCGGGGCTCGCGGGGCTGAGGAACAGAGGTGGAAGAGCACGTGATGGCCATTAGGGGAGAGAGAAAAAGATAAGAGCAGTATAAACAAGTCATAATTGGTGACCCTTTGTAGTTTTGCAGCATGCAAACCTGAAACCCCCCGCGACCATCATATCTGCGGTCCTTTTCGTCTCTTCGTTTCTTTGGAGTCTTGCGCTGCAAAAAAACCAGTAACCCCATGATGTCTCTCTCTCTCTCTCTATCTCTGCATCAAAAGGAATCATGATCTCTGGGTCTCCTAGTGTCTCATGTTACGTAGAGACAGATTTTGGTAATTGAAACAGGGGAGGACAGAGCTCGACCTTCGATGAGGACAAGCATCGTGTAAATCTCATCTGAATCTGGCCAATCCTCCTTGAATTGCTGAAAGAACACAGACTGATCCTGCCGTGGCTCCGGAGGATTATCAAAAAGGGTTGTTTGTGGTCACCCCAAACAATGTACACTTATCAAAGCGACATCCGAAATGCATGTACATTTGAGCGGAACCGAGTCCGGTGGTGCGTGAGCCCGAGGTACCATTGCACGACGCAACGTTATCGTGTCTTCAAATAATGAAATCTGATAATTCATTTCTTCGGCATCGACACATTTCACTCACAATCCATGTCTCCAGTAGCACGAACTCAGCCCACAAATTATATATTGCTTGGAGTCGAGACTCTCGAGCCAACTCGGTGATGACCAATTGACCTTTCCATTCCGTGTCAATATGTTCTGTGCGTGCGTGCGTGCACACAGCGAGCATCCAAAGCCGTGGCTTTCTGACATTATAACCGCTCAAGGTAAATTATACACAATGAGATGCGAAATCACATGATAAAACATGAATCACAGGGATAGGACCGGTCATCGGTTGAGCCAACAGAAAACCAAGGGAGGTTTTTCTGCAGCCATATAAGCCCAGAGGGAGAATTTCCACAGGCGATCAAGTTATGCTAATTGCTTGACATGGTCTACAGGAACAAGCAAGCAGGTCAGGGTTAACCAAAGGCCCAACCCCTTGCGGTCCAAGCACAAACTTAAGCTCAGGCAATCGCAAAACTCCCATTTGTCCTGTGTCTTTCGTAGCAGCGAGATTGGAAAAATAACACTAGGCTCAGCAAATTTAGACTGCAATGATATATGAATCTTAAACCAATCTTTCTTCCATGATGACCACAAAAATAAGGAAAAGAAAGAAGCCTATGTCTTTCCTCCTGTAGAGAAGTCAGACACGCAACACGTCGAATCATAGTTGAATAAATAATTGTCATACACGACTAGGAAAGCTAACATGGATTTATACAAGTTCATTCTTAAGGACCAATCGACCTGTTTGGTTCGTGAACGAACTATAGTAATTGACGAGGGTAATGCGGGGAGAGGGGCTATCTTGTGCTTCTCTTTCTGTCGCAATATGTGGGAAACTATTGAAGTTGCAAGAAGATTAGCATAACCGTGCGACATTACACTCCTCATATAGATATAGTAAAGAACAGTCTATGATGCGTGTGCAAGACTGGTTATTGAAAATAGTGAATATCAATGAGAGTAATTACATTCCTAAGAACTATCGGTAATTCCAAAATAGACCTAACAAAAAACAAGGGAGAATAAGAAACCATGAAAGACCTACATCTGAATTCTCCTGTGAGAAGGGCGTATCAAGAATAAAAAATACAAGAGGTGTATTGCAACAGAATAACGAAAAGGACCTTAGCTTGTTAAATATTTAGTTTCAGCAGCAGCACCAACTCATCGGCAAAGGAAATCCTTCATTCTTCAAAATTTTTCTTTATAACTGGCCTTCCGAGAAGAACAAATTGACAGGAAGAACTAATCATCAGATGCCACAGTGGGGCTGTCCGAGCAGATCTCCTTTTGATGAAGTTCAAGTAACCTCTTTTCTGGACCACATAACCCTGCATGTCAAGTAATTTTGTGACGATTTTCTATTAGCTATTTTTCAGGGCAAACAGATTGACAACTGCTAGTGAAAAGTGGTCAACATTTTCGTTAGGTTCAGTGAAGCTTTAGAATGTAGTTCTGGACCGACCGGGTAATTTGATGAGCACCAAACAGAAAATCAACTACTTTTAACAAGTAACTGTGCCAAACCACTGGAAAATTCAATCATGTTGTTATCAATTTTTTGCGCATAATGATGAATGGATCTTGATAGACTATCGTCTAGCAAAAACAGATCCTTTTTGAGTTCTAAGACCAACCTGAACACTTCGGTATATCCCACACGGCAATGGATGAGGGTGTACACTCTGGTTGACATAGCTCTTTGTTATTCTCATGGTGGACATTCATCGCAAGCATCCATGCACCAATTGTGACGTCCTCATTGCTGAACATCCGGACACTGTCATTCAAACGGAATAAACATCAGATAAAATGATTAATCGAGAGAAGTGTTAGCATACTCGATTGCATTATCCTTTCAGAACTTACGTTAAATCACATATAGAACAGTCTAGTTTTGCAAGGACTCATCGTGATACAAACCGTAGATCAGCAAAAGCTATGACTGGACTAGCATTCAACAGCAAAGGTAAATTATTAGGCTTTTTGAGGACCTAAAACAAAGTTTTGAAGTTGCACAAGCGCTTGAGCATTGCATTAGACTCAGTTGACTTCTCAACAATGAATTAGATATAGAAGGTTCAAAGCGATATACACAACAACAATTTAGAACTTATGCCACTAGGTGGGTCCGGCTCTATGAATTTTTTAGACCATTGCGCTATATTCTGTATCAAGTCTTCTATAAGATCTAAATGCTCCACATCTTACCTTAATTTGCACGTAAATATATAAGATGCACTATATTAACAAACGTATAGCTCTTCAAGCAAAGGTCTCGGTCAAGGCCACCTAAGGAGCAAGATATCATTGGCTGAATCTACCACGAGAGCACAATCCTTCACCTCTCAAGTGTCTATTCTACAATAAAATAAATACAAGCACATCCCACACTGCGTGAGCACAGCAGCCATTGCAGTTCAAATTGCTGCATGTGAATGTTGGTCATCAACGAGGAATCCATTAATGCAGAATGCAATTTGCTGGTTAGTTTGTTCTCTCTTCTTAAAGTAGGAAACATGTGATTAAGCATAACAAGAACTAAAGCATAATTCGGTGAAGGTAAGGAAATTAGCTTCATCCAACTAAGATCAGATCTTCGTAATTATGAATTCAAGTAGAAGTCTGACGAGACAAAGGATAAGCCGTCACAGCATCGGGAAAAAGTTGGAAAACTTCCTTAACGACACCCAGAAATGAAGCAACCATATGCTGATATTTCTATATGCCTATTTAAGCTAGTCAGAAGACATTGATGAGAAAACATGCCTGTTGCTTCTGAGAGCCACCAAACTTGCAACTACTTCTGCTGAAAGGGCATAGATTGGACCATAAGCATGGAAGAAGTATTCTTTCCCTAGCAAATAGGCTAATGGCTCATACCTGCACATGGAGAATGGTCCAACCACATTATAAACAAAAAGAAAGACAAAATGTAGGAAGGGACACTGATTGCTGGTCATAAACAAGTGCCCTCAAGAACTTTCTTGAGTAATTTTCTGCCAAACTACATGACTACTTCATCAGTTTCACTCTAGAGAGAAAACTTGTGAAGGTTCCAGCTCAAAGATGAAGTTTTCCACATAGATCAAACTTCCAAGGTAAGCTCAAAACATTTGAACATGGAGAAAATGTGGAAAGTCGTTGATACTAACTTTCTGAAAGATATAATTGCTATATGTTAAAAACTTCAAATTGTTTAACTCTTTTTCACTACATGTCGTGACAGGAATCAAAAGTGAACAAATACTGATGAAGAGGCAAAGGATTCCAAGACAATACGAGAGTTCTCTGAAAGAAGATACAAGGCAAAGCATTCCTACAAGCACAATATAATGGTCCTCTTGAAGAAGAAATTCAAAGAAAAACATGGAACTAACCATTTAAGTTTCGGGTCGGTGAAGACTGGGCCCTTTTTCATGCATCCAATATAAGTTTGGGAATGACTTCGTTCCTTTGTCAAGAGCAGGGAAAGCCGATCTAACAGTTAATGAGATGTGATTGCGAGATCATAAGACAACTGGTGCGAGTTCATACTGTGATGTAAATGCAATACAAGACCGTAATTCCAGTTACCTGGCCTGAGATAGATGTCATCATCCGCTTTAACGTAGAACTCAGCATCAAAAAGTGCATAGGCGGCTTTGAAGAAAGCTAACCTGCAGTTTAAAGCAGATTACGCCGGAGAGAGAGAGAGAGAGAGAGAGAGAGAGAGGTGTTTACGTTTTGTAGGGGAGCTTGCTGTACTCCTCTTCTACATCCAACAGTAAGAAGTCATCATACTGGGACACTTCCTTTTTCAATTCCATCATCTTTGCCCCATCATTAGTCCTACCAATGACAAATCTAAAAACTAATCCAGTGTCTTCCTCCAATCTGCAATATAGTCCATAAACTCACAATCAGTAGAGTTTCCTATAGCTATACATGAAGAGCACAAGAAAAAGTACTCAGATTTTAGCTAATTGAACTGCTTGCTTGTAGGCAACAGTTGGAACTTAGCAGGTCGAAACGCAAGAGAAGACAATGATATTACCATATAAACAGCTGTTAAGAAAAGACACCTAACAACTAAACTAAAGCCAATACTCACCAACCAAGAGAGCTAATCTCCCGATGATTGATGGCTGCAGAAAGAGTCGTCTAAACAAACTAATCTTAATCTCAATTATGTTCTCCCATAATGAATATTCATGTATAGCCATATAACCGTTCCCTATGTTCCTTGGCTCCATCAGTGATGCAACAATTTGCTTATTTACACTGCTACCAAAGATATAATTTAAACATTTCCGCTTCTTTCAATATAATCTCCCAGGTGATGATTTCCTAAAATACCACATTCGAGCTACATTATAGTTCTAGACTGTGAGACCTGAAAAACAACTTCAATGGATACATGGTCAATATGAAGTGATCTTTATCAGCAGCAGATACACGGCAGATACTACATGGTAATTTCATTGGCTCCATAGTTAATAAGAAGCAAGCTTTCTAGCATAGACACTATGGATGCTACTCAGCATTCGCAAGAATTAATAGTGGCAATGAACCAAAGCAACTACTCATGATTCTCTGCAAATTCTCATACATAAGACAAACAGCTGGAATTTGCATTCTTATTCCCGAGTGATTAACAACAAGAGACTAAAGAAATCAAATGCAATAAATCAGCATGAGCAGATCAATTCCACACACCGTGAGATCAAGAATTCGACGAGCACGAGCACTCAGTCAGATGCAGCAAAAGAAAGAGCGCCTACCGTTGCAATTTCTCCCGATCCGACGGCATCCAAGTCCGCCGGAGAGATCTCCGGCGGCCGACAGATCCGAACCCGGTCTGAATCCCCACGAATCCCTTCACCTTGCGCCTCCTCAGGACCTTCTCGCCATCCCTGACCAGCAGCCCCCCGCCGCCACCTCCGCCGCCGCCGTCCCTCCCCTCCCCACTCCACGAGACGCGGAGCAGGCGGGGCTCGACGCCGGAGCACCTGTAGCCGCGGCTCGGCCCGAGGATGGCGACGAAGCCGAGCACGAAGCCGGAGAAGCCGACGAGGAGGCAGCAGGAGACGATGAGCATGGTGGAGCGGCGAGGTGAGGGCGGCGAGGGGCGGCCGTGGTGGTGGTGGTGGTGGTGGGGCTTGGGAGACGACGGCATGGCGGTGAGGGGGTCGGAGAGATCAAAGGCATGTGAAGGAGGAGAGAGAGAGAGAGAGTTCGTTGAGATCGGGGAGAAGAAAGACGAGAGAGATAGAGAGAGAAAAATTGGTGAAGGATTGCTTGCTTAGGAGAGTGACTTGCGAGCTGAAGAAGCTTCGGCCATTGGTGGAGCTGTCGTTTTAACGTCGACGATGTTGATTCCGGGACGGGGGAGGACGACGACGATGACGACGACGACGACGATGATCCTTTCAAGGCACGACGGATCGGATCATCGACGGGAAGTGATCATTATATTATCGGGGCGAAATTTAGAACTGATTTTTTTGTCCACAAATGTTTAAGGGGAAAAGCGTAGAGTCATGAGCCTGTTGCAATCTTATACTTTTTAGCCGCGTAAATTTAGTTTTAAACTTTTTGCATTTGCATCAATTGAGTCGATTGGGCCAATTTTGACTGTAAATCGTTAATATGGACGCCGATTGTTTTACGTGACACGATCGACGCTGAAGTGAACACCGATCGCCGGATCTGAGCGAGGGCTTGCATGGCCCTCGCTTTGGCCGGCGAGGGCGTCGAGGAGAGCCGTGACCCCCTCTCTGGCCAAAGCGAGGGCATGCGGAGCCCTCGCCTAATAGCTGGCGAGGGTGTCGCAATCCTCTCCTAGAGCTGGCTAGGGCCATAACACCCTCACCCAATGCTGACGAGGGTCACTAGCTCTCAGTCCAAAGGAAAAAAGAATTTAAAAATAAAAAAAATTATAAAAAAAATGTTCACGTCAACGTCAGTCGTCTTTCGTCGACCGTGCCAGGTAGGACGACTAGCGGCGATGTTAGTGATTTCTATTGGCCGGATAGACTCAATTGGCACAAATGCAAAAGGTTTGGGACTAAATTTGCACAATTGTAAGGTTTATGACTGAATTTGCATAAATTCAATATGTTTAAGACTTTTCTGACACTTTTTGCAATGTTCACATAAATATAAATTGATTTGTAATCTTTAATGAATTCTTTTATGTATCATATGATAAATACTTTTCGAATCAAAAGTACGTTTTTATAGCAAAAAAGCCACAAAAAGCTCTCAAACTATGCCTACTATGACGCATCTACCATAAGTTTTTTATTGTTACATAAAAAACTCCAAATTATACCCATTGTTGCACATTTATCCTAAAAATTTTCATGTGGCGAAAAAAAACCCGTTAAGGAGTCATCAGATGATTTTTCAGCCAAAACGACGTCATTTTTATTTCATTTAAGTTACATGGGTGCCATGTCTAACATCGTTGCTCATTACGGAAGGGTAAATATGTCTCACAAGTATAAGTTTGGATTTTTGGTGGTATAGAAAAAAAATGTTTATAATAAGTGTGTCACAGTGGACATAGTTTGGGAGTTTTCGGCGACTTTTTCCCATTAGAATATATACTAATGAATGTTCTAAGAGCACCCCTATTGAATATGTAAAAAAAAATCTCTATTATCCCCCTGTCATTTTTTTATTACAAGGAAGACATTCTTAGATGGTCTCATATCATAATAGTGCATCATATTAAGGTTCAAGCTTTAAAGAAGTAATAACATTCAATCACATCATTGACAATATGCAAATGGTCTAGTAACTCCGTCGAAAGAACTCGAAAAATCCTCAAATTGACCTTACGCAATCAATCAATGTATTCTAGCGTAATTACAAATACCGATCTAGTTAAAAATAAAGGCGATTAAGCTCGCGAGTCGTCACCACAAAAATCATGAGACATCGGTATCTGACCTTTTCGAATATCTCTCGTTGCTTAAGCCCTATGAAGGACTTGAAGCACATTCGTTCGACCAAATGATGTCGTGGTTAGAGAATGTTCCAACGTTTGTAATGCCACCTTAGGATTCACATTAATCAAGCAAAATTAGACAGCACTCTATCTAATTTCACATTGATTAAAAATGTTTTCTCGTATTTTCTTATTAATTAAGGGAATATCCTCGAAAAGTTTTTATTCATCAAATTTTTTGGACCGAATAAACTAAAAGAGGACATTGCTTATTTCCCCTACATCAAAATCCAGATTGGGTATTGCATTCTGAGGATTGAGCAGTGTTTATTCACTTACAAACCCAAACCCAAAAGACTAGATCAGCATATTTACATTTGCTTATAATTTTTATCACTTCCCATACAATTCACAAGCTTTCCGGGCTTCTTCCCCACAGGAGAGCTGTGTCTGGTCATACACCAGCATGGTATCGACATTGCAACGCCTTCTGCTGGTTTGCTTTTCCTTCTCCCCGGGGGACATGAGGGGGTCATCGCAGGACGGCTTCGAAAATTGATCCTGCGAGCTAGTTTCTTGTCCTACAACTACTAGCAAATCCTCGGTATCCATACGACTAACTAAGCTAGCACGACAGGTACTTTCTGATACCTGTTCAGACTCGGCGGTATCTGTCTGACAAAATTTGGATGATTCTTCTACGCCCTTCGCCCCATCCTCGCAAAGGTTTTCCTCAGAAGGGAGCAGACAGTTGATGGCTGGCTCTTCTTCGGAAGAGATTCCTGCTGTCGTAGGAAGGTGAGAAGTTTCATCTGCTAACGCAGAATTCTGTGCAGTATCGCAAACTCCTTGTCCTATCTCATTAGTTAGTTCAGTTCCTCGCGAAAGCTCTCCTTCCTTGGGGCTGACTTCCCTAGCATCAGCTTCTTCATTGTTTGCATAGCAGGTTTCAGCAGGTTGTACTGCCTTGGTCGTGAGCTCGCATTCTGGAAAAAGACAGTTGATACATTCAGTACTAAGCCTGAACTCCAAGCAAAGTGCGATGAGATGACACCGAACTCTTTTGGCCTGTGAAGTAACAAAAAAACAAAAAAAATGCCGGCACATCAACTTGAAGAGGCGGAACAATCACCTGATAGTGCCTCAGCTTGTTGACTTGTGTACAGGCTCTTTTTCAGCAGCACTGTTCCAGGAAAAACCATCAAGTTGATCTTGTTAAGTGCCTCCTTTTCATCCTTTTCCACAATCTTGAAGCCAAAACCTTCAGTCCATGTCTGCACCAAATCTGGGATGGCAGCTATCACAAGTTTTTCCACTCCAAAAGACCCCAGCAGCTGGACAAATCACATAGGAAGAGTGATTATGCTTAACTATGCCCATGAAGAATTGTTACGGATCAATACGACACAAAAGCTCAAGACACTGCTACATAGTAATGATTTTACTACCATGACAAAGCAAAGTTATCTTTAGTTTATGTTTCGACCATTGCCACCACCAGTATAGTCATCTCATGGATGACGCCACACACGCACACACACACAGGCATTCCTAAATAAGCAAATGTTCAGATAGAAGTAACCACTAGTACGATCAGGTCTTCTGTGAAAAGTATAAAAATGAGATAAATATTAGGAAGAGATGCGTTTTAACAATTAGACTAGTTTAGCCATACAAGCTCAGATTGAAGATATATTAATGTGGTTTTAAGGGTAAAATAAAAAGGAAGCACATGCTCCATGCGTCATTCTTCAAAGCTCCAATTCTCAATCATCAAAGGGAGGAAAAACCTCTGTTGATAAAAAATCTAACACCCATACATGGAGCAATCTCTGCACTTATCTTTACATGGTTAAGGATTGAGATTCTTATTCTCATCAGGGCAGTCGCCTGAGTACTCCAAAAGAAACAAGTTTGTTTCAATAGTTAGCTCATTGCAGTAAACATTTCCATCAGTGTCTCTCAGGTCTAGACAATTACCACATTTATGGCACTAGCATTTCCTTCGGTTGATCAAGTGTCTAGTCATAGAGCAATATTAGAGCTTACCTTCTCTATAGCAATCATAAGGCGTCGACACATTCCCTGCCGCCTATATTGGCTACAAGTTGCAATTAAGGGCATCTCTGCAACTGCTATTCCATGAATCCTGCAAACCGAAAACATGATGAGAGTATGTACACCTAAAGTTGATCGGCCCAGAGATGATCTTATCCCATAATAGTTTCCAAAGTAACTCAGGATAAGATACGAATTTATGAATAAGGCCTTTTCAGGACTTCCACCATTTGTGTTAACATAGGTTCCTCAGGCAACCCTACCTTGTTTAAGACAAATGTAATAGAGAGACAACTGTCAAGAGTACTCCTGAAAGTTTAGATGGTGCACATTTTACACTTCTAAAGCACACAAAAACGAGTGGTGAACAGGGTTACGATCATTATCAGGAAAAACACCAGACAACATCAAACTCAGTTAGAAATTAGAGATTTTCGCTCAAAAGAAAACTGTATATAGGAAGAATCACCAACGCATATAGTCAGTATTAATGACTAAAGATATTGTTCCCAAGAATAATCATATTTGGCAGCATCGCAAGATATTGAAAAGGATTCGTAATGCTCAATTCAGGACATTGCCAGGTAAATGAAGAATTCAAACCTTACACATGCAGCAGATATTAACACATCATCTTTCTCCAGGACCATGGTATAAAAGCCATGAAAGTTCAGCCTTGCAAAATCTGACCTAAATATCACCAAGAAAAGGAATGAGAATTAATTAGAAAGGTATGGAGCAAATATGGAGATACCTCATTGGGGTGGACAATGCCAAACTGAAGTTGCAAAACAAACAGGGGGAAGAAGAAAAACACGATGCATGACCAGAAGTCTCACAAAGTAAAGCCAGATAGTTGAAGACAATTAAGGTTTGCAAGTAAAAGAATAGAACTTACCCCCAATTATATAGAACATGAGGTATCATATCTATTCCTGTTCTTGGATCCAGCATGGAGACAAAACATTCCTCCATTATAGTCAGAGCAACAGCCAGTTTCGAGTTGCATTCTGCCTTAAGAGCAAACCCTTGGGCAGAACGAACCTTCTGGTCATCGTGAATGCATCTAAGCAGAGTCCAAGTGAACCCATCTTCAATATGGTTGATGAGACCAATACGAGAATGAAGCCCAGAGTAAACCTACCCACAGAGTTGACATGTGTATCAGTCAAAGCAAACAGAAATTGGAAGACAGCATTTTTAAACCTTTTCAGCAAATTAGGCAACCTCATAAAATATAATAATGCAGCCAAATGGGCAAGTTAGTTTGTCTCTTTAAAGATAATATGGTCTTTTTTTGGTTCAAACAAAGTCGTGTTTGAAGGATAAGCCAAGTTCCAAAGAGGCACTAAATTGAAAAGAAAAGGACGATGGTAAAGAATATGCTGACAAAACATTGCATTCAATACCCAATAACATAACACTTGGAAGGAATGGTGATGCTTAGAATGCAATTCTTTGAGGGTTTAGAGGGTTCATGAAACATAGAGGCAGAATGCTGTAAAAGTTCGCTTTCATTGCTGAACTTGGTTCTGGAGGGAGATAGCCGATGAGGAAACAAGTTCTACAAGTTCCCTAAGTCATCATCTACATTTCACGAGTTCCATAGATAACTGTCTTTCGTCCAATACAACGCTCGGATCTCTCAGTGCTTGCTTTTCTGGAAGCAATAACGGTTGGTCTGTCCAAAATTTGGCTAGATCAAACATCAAGCAGGGGCTTAAAAGCTGCAGTAATTTTTTCCTCAAAATTTGCATATGCTGATCCAACAAAACAAAATGAGCAGTTGCGTAGGAGCACACGCAGCAAGTAGAATATAGGGCTCGTTACCTCTTGACAGCCTTCACCACATAACCACCCATCAGTTATCTCCGGGTCTACATTCTTTTCCTTCATGCATGACTCGTGATCTGTTCATACATCATCCTTATCAAATGAAGTGCTTAAATTAGACTAAAAAGTTGCCAGGAGAGGCGTTATGGATTGAATAAATATACCAGTCCACGATAAACTTTAAAAAAAAGAAGTAAATTAGACATTTGTTATAATTGCTACATGGATCAATAATCAAATGAAAGATTCAAGCATATCTGAGTCTTCACAAAGACAAATGAAGAGAATGCTCAAACCAAATAACACCAATGAGGTATACCTCTGTCACCAGGAGATTATTTTGTGTGAGCACCAGACTTAATGCAAAAGACTGTACACAGTCGTTTGAAAATCATAAAACCACCAGCAGAATCAGCATTATCTTGACCTAAATACTATTTAATGTAGCAGCCAAGTTCCTAAGGACGGACAGAACTGCATTTAAATGATTTTTCTTGAAAAATTAAAATAAAACCACCCCTGAAGACGATACTATTCTCTTTTCATATATAAACCAGTCCTGCTAGACAAGCCTACCTCCACAGACTAAGCTAATATGCCTATTTCACAATTGAACTGAATCTTTAAATCCTCCATCAATGTTCCAGTTGTTTCCAAAAAAACAAAAAAACAAGACATCTGATAACAATAGATTGTAATAATTAACTTATCAACAACTAATCAGTGACAAACCCCAGGACAGAATTCACATGATACTAAAGCTCATTCATCCAGTGTCAAACATTCAACAGCTATTCAACGGTTCTCAAGGAGTGGAGGCTTTGGCTCGACATTTGAATCACTAAACCAGTCTAGGATTCTATGTATGTATAATATTTTCAGATCCAGGCACATCACGAAAACCATAACTAAGAGAGAAGAAATGTGTGTATTACATTTGTGTTCACACTGCAAACACTTCAGTGCATCATTAGAGCTTGCAGCCTTCTTGTCGTCAACTAGGCATCCACATATTCGACATGTGCAGTTGGGACAATACCAATTGCCCTCAGGCAGGTCCTGCAATGGTAAATGAAAATGATGTGACTCAATTGACTTGGTACATCTCATCCCATAGGACACAAGATACACAACCTAATGAATATGAAGAGAAATAAACAAGCTAAATATTTTGAAACATGTTACAATATTATATTTAAACTCCTCGCCTCTATAGCCAGAACTTGCATGTAAACCCACTTTAATATGAGTAAAGTTCCTGATCCCGATAGATGTTTCCTTGGCCAAAAAAAGAGGATTTGTTATGAGGTTGTACACTTTTATGTCTTTCCATAGTTTTAAAGGGCATTACTTAAGGAAGCCAACCAAAGAAGCAAATGTGAAACAGACACATGACATACCTCCGTCAGCAAGCAAGCTTGATGGAAAGTAGAAGGACAGTTGTCACAGCAAATCAATTCACCCCCATCACCACAGATTCCACAAGAATCATCATTTGGATCATTGTTGTCAACTTGCACATTCGGCCTTCCACTTTTCCTCAACTTATATTCAGATGACCAGGCCTCAAGTACACACAAGGCAAATGGCTCACCGGATTCCATGAAAAGGTTCAAGCACGGACGATTCTTTTTGAACCCTGCATGAACCTTGAATTGAGAAACTGATAGCACCATAGTACAGCACCTGCATATGATGCCATTCCAAGTAACCTGACCATCCTTCTTCACGGTATTGTCTTTAAGATCACGGTATTGGATAACATCATTAAGAGAAATTACTCCAGAATTTATCAACCATGACAACACAGTTCTAGCACCTAGCAAGGAACTCCCATCCATTAAGGGCTTGCCCCCCTTGCCGAAATTCCTTGGACGCAACTTGCATGCACCCTTCTGCTTTTTCAGCATCCTTCTAGCCCTTATTCTACGACACTTGGTTTTAGGCGTAGATTTGGAAGCACTTCCACTGACTTCTTGGTTTTTCATTATCGCTGAGACAAGCAGCTCATCATCTTCAATATCACACTTTCTTTTCTTTGATCTATTTTTCGAAGTATCACATTCTCGGCTACTCTTCTTATATTTCAGCTTTCTATTCTCACTCTGGTACTTGGGAAGGCTGAAACACGAGGACTTGCAACTTCCTTTAAATCTTTCTTCTGTTACCAAAAGATCCTGAACCTCATTCAACTCCGAGTGAGAGCTGTCTGTACCAATTCCTGGAGACTCGGCCTTGTTCGGCAAAGTCACGCCCATTATATCATCCTGGTCCAATGTTGTTGACTTTATTTCAGATATCTTCTTTGACTTCCTTCTTATTTTCTTTCTCAAACTAACATCTGCGGGAACATCAGCACAGTCCACTTCTTTGCCATGCCCAGACTGCTCGACAGCTCCGGAATTCAATACGATGGCTACACCTGGTTCATCTCTGTAAAGTGAACAAGGTGGATGACATTTAGATTTATCTTCCGAATAAACCAAATTATTTATATCAGACAAAGGTTCGCAAAATTGGCAAATATCTGGAAAACAAGAAGCAAAATACCTGGAACAATGACAAGGGAAAGCTGCTGGATTTATTCTTATCTTAATAGCATCTTGGTCCTTAAATGACTCTCCTTTATTTTCACAGGTCACCAATGATACATCTTCCAAAACCTGCTTATGTCTCTCCATGTCATGCTCAGAACCCTCTTCATTGTAACTCAAGCGATTCAACTTGCCATCCACACCCAGATGGAAGACTGTTCTCAATCCTTCAAGCGGAACACTTACATTTTCTGAATAAGCAGGACGATAATACAGGGTATGGCCAGATGAAGTGCCACCACCAGGACCAGGAGCCGGTAATGGTAGGGGATCCAGGTCGCAGATTTTGTTCCCCTGAGAGTAATCCGCAGTCGCATTGGCAGTTTGAATAAAAGGAGTGACGCCACTACCAGTGGTACAAAAAGACATCCCAGTCAAAAAAGTCCCAGGACTCCCATCAGTTCTTTGTATGCCATATCCTGAGGAACAGCCAGTGCGAGATAGCTTTGCAGAAGCAAAGCAGTTCCCATCAACATCCGTCACCTCACTTCCACAGGCCTGAGATGAATCACCAAGAAAACCAGAAATTTGGCTCGCAGAGAACAAGTCTCCACAGATATCATTTTTTTTCGCAGCCAAAGCAGCATTTCTTCTCCTGTTCATGTCGGTGAGCAAACTCGGTCTTACTTTTACTACTTCACCTTTTCTTAGTATACCAATTTTCTTATCAAGGAACATTACTGCCACAAAGGGATCTAAGAGATTCCAGCGATGAGCCAATGAGCTAGACAATTCTGACTGATTTAGTTCTCTCTCAATACTCAACAACAACTTTGTCAAATCTGACAGGAACAAACTGAAATCATTCCATTCTTTACTCTCATCTTCCTGCACCAAAGCACATTGATTGGCCAGTAACATTTGTCCGCATGATATCCACGCTTTAGAGAATTCACGGAATGACCTCCCTGCAGGTGATCGAAATTTGTACTCCGTATAACGCCTACTAGGTCTTTGATGCATGGTGATAAGCCATCCCGCTGCCATAAGTAAGTGAAAAGCATGGTGCTGGAGAAGACGGCGAGGCTCCTTTGCAATGGAAGAACCATCAGACACACTAATTGGAGGAAATCCATAAGCAATTGGCCTTTCATCAGCATGCAGGGGACTGGACTTGTCAGCGGCATTGGCAGATGGGCTTACTGCAACTATTCTGTTTGCAATGCTCTCCTGTGAAGCAGGTGAAGCAATAGCTTTCTTTACAGCAAATTCCATGCTACCATTACAATCTGAACCTGTAATTCTACAGTTTGAAGTACTAGTATTTCCCACACAAGCTTTGTTGTCCACTTGCATGAGCTCTTTTAGCACATAGGAGTTGTATGCAACCCCCTTACTGGAAGATTCTGCCACGATGAATTTCTCTTGACCAGACATGCCAGAAATATTCTTGTTAGAGCAGCATGATGAACTGAAACCTCTCTTCAAGTCTGGCACAGGACTAGCAAGCTGATCTGCTGGAAATTCAATCCCCTTTACGCAAGATACTTGGTCATTCTTATCTGTGAAACTGGAAATCTTTCCAGGATCTTCGTCTACAACAAAAGATTTCTCGCAGAAAGTATTTTTAGAAGCACAAAGACTGGTCAGAGCAGAATTTTCACCATTAGAACAGACTGAGAGATCCATTTTTCTACTGGATTCAGACTCACAGCTATTAGGTTGAACAGATGGTGACATTTTCTTTCTGTCACCAGTGTAATTTCCATAAAGTACCTCTCTAAAAATACTTAGCTCATCATTTGATCCCTCAAAACCATCATCACAGGGGTCCTCCATGTTGATAGCCAGCAGAATGCCCGCAACATAGAAAAATTACAATTTGTCCCCAGCCTCTTCAGTCTCTTGCTCCATAATGATCATCATCATTTTGAAGTGGCAGAATGCACCCCCGAAGTTAAAATTTCACCTGGAACACCTCTCTTGGAACTTTCGTGAAGCAATAGTGCATCGGTAAAAATTGTCCTCCATAAAGGACAACCATAAGTCTAGATCAGCAGAACTTGATAAAGAATCTGCGATATAAAACGAGAAAAAGCTAAAAGCTAAGATGCAGAGATAATTCAACAACATGGGAATAAAAGCGCGAGTAACTCAGCAACAAATTGCTTCTGTTGTCTTTGATAATTAATCCAACTTAAGCACTCACAAATTAAGAGCATCGTACTAACCAATCACAAATACTGCATACAATTAAAGCATGTGATACGAATCGGCAATGCTGAAACCGAACTTTCTTTTTAGTCCATGGAAACCATAAACAATTCCAATTGTGATGTTACTTTGAATCTGAAATTACAGTCCTGAATTCGGCATTTAACATGGTCCCATAGGCATGCATCTAGCACAGTTTAGATATATGGAACTGAACTTAACCAGTCTTATCTTGTCCCAACTAACTTGGCAGAAGAATAATACCCTCAGAACATGTTTCCACTTACCTAGTTGATCCAAGTCCCAGGTAAAATTGGTCAAGAAAGGGAATGTAGAGGGAAGTATTGAAATTTAGAACAAAGAAAAACTCAGGAGTTGGTCTCCAGATGCCAGAAGTACCTATAGAATTGAGCTAATATCTACCAAAATGTTCGCAGAGGGTTTCCTAACTAATAGAATACTGTTCTTCCGAGGTGTTGCTCATCCCAATAACAACTATGTCATCTACTCTTTGTGATGATTTCTCAATCAAATGAGAAACTGGAGTCTGAGCTAGAAGGAACATCCGCAGCAAATGGTAAAAAAAGCACACACCTGCTGCTTTGAAAAGTTACTTCTTCTGTAAATGAAGATACAGCTGGAGTACTTCGAAAATGGGTAAATTACTCCATACAGTTAAATCAGCTTGCAAATCAAGGAAGAAGAGGAATCAACGGGGATCTCATACAGCCATATCTGCAATATCTATGGTTTCTATCTGAACCATTCCCATATTCATTAAGAGATATTGACTCTACCACTTAGCTTAATCTAACTTCCCATTATTGCCTTGGAGCGTAATCTAACTTCCCATTATTGCCTTGGAAACCTAAGAGTGGTATTGTGGTTTTTATAGAGTCCCACTAGAGCAATCATTCACAGTGTAGTGTAACTTCCTTTTAAGGATTTCTATCTACGGTAAAAAATCATTTTTGTGCGAAAATACGTCACCTGTAAAACATTTCCTTGAAATCATTATCGTGTAAAAACACGTCGCCAGGAAAACATTTCCTTGAAATGTTCATCTATTATCACAACAAGTCAATTTAGCTAAGAAACCGCTCGGAAAACAGGTTCTGTCCTGTGGTGACTGATAGAAACCCTATAGCACTATAATACATGCACCACCTCAGCCAAATAAATAGGGTTTACACGTACGAATGTTGTAATTTTAACATATTTACCCAGACCTTTCTTTCTTTCAGACAAGTTAAAAATATGCAATCGCATAGATGATCTCACCACATTGGAATAACGAGTTCAAATCTATTTTAACGATAAACTCCTTTGGTTATTTAAGTAGGTGAAACCCACTCGAATTACTTCACAGTGATGATTGTGTCTTCCTTATGCGTGATAGATAACCAAAGAAAATCTGTTTACTTGGAGTTCTATGTTAGGTGTTTCAGAGGAAAAGAGAAGACACAAAATCCCCATCTCATTGAATGCTGACTTTGATCCAAAATCCCCATCTCAACCACCAGAGAACGGTCCCCCATAATCTCAACGAGTTTGTTTACATCCAAACAAGCAAAGTGCAAATGCATATAGAGAAGAAAAAAAACACCTTTTACGCGGCCCTTGCAATTCCATGTACATAGAACACACCATACACGTTTATTGGAAAAACAGAAGCTAAAAGACGAATCTTGAATAAAAATAGAGATAGTGTAAAGTGGATGTGCTAGGGTCAGCTCTGGCAGAATTACAAGATTGCAAATGTTTTTCCGCATCTCCATGACCATTCAAAGCTCAATACTTGATTGTGAGCGCATTATATGGGATTTCATGCAGGAAATAATGGTGAGTGCCCCTTAATTGGCATAACTAATGAACAAAAAGGAGACGGATTATCCTTCCTAAACCAACAGAAACCTGCAGCAACCGGTAGCAAATACAGAGGAAAAAGGAGGTCGACCAGGCACTCCACGGTCTGCTAAATGGTCCAAGATTTAGGATCATTAAATCAAAGTGAGGATCTCCTGTCCTCATTTAGGCACATGCCCAAACATGCAATAATGCTCATAGATAACAGCTGAGGCTAGACATTCACGCGATAATTCACCTAAGGCTCAAATCTTTGAATAACAACTCTCAAATATTGCTCCACAGCTGAATTTTCTGGGGGGCTGCATGATGTGTTATAGTCATGAGAGAGAGCGAGAGAGAGTCTGTTTGTCAGATAATTGGATAAGCCACCATTATCGTCAATCTCAGCATTACGTCTTGCTGAATTGCTCAGGTTGCAAAGGCTCGGCGACGAATTGTGGGGGAGAGAGAGAGAGAAAGAGAGAGAGAGAGAGAGAAAGGTGATAATCACGATCGTTATCGCAAAGCAAAGATCAAGGGCATCAAAGCCATGAGAGCGAGAAGCAACATGAGCAATACGTGAACGCGCATTACCACCAAATCAAGCCCATTCCGAGAAGAAATTCAAGTTATCTCCAGAACGATACACACTCCCAGAAGCCAATTCTCGCTCGAATCCGCTCCCCCCCCAAAACAGAACACACCAATTCCCAGCGCCTCGGCCATGGAAATGACAGGCACCCGAGCACAAAACACCCAGCTAAAACCGCATTACCACCCTCGAAAAGAACGACAACCCAGATGAGATAGAGCAGATACGGGCTCACCTCGGCAATGCAGCTCCTGATCCGCATGCAAGACCGAGGGGGACGGAGGCCGAATCTTGGGGCTAGGGTTTTGGCAAACGAAGGAGGCGAAGAAGGGAGGCGAATTTTTTCAGGGAGGAGATGGAGAGAAGCCACCGAGCGAGAGGGGGGGAGGGGGAGAGGGAGAGAACGAGAGGAGAGAAGGTGGGGTAAGAAGGGGGGGGGGGGGTTTTGTTGTGTGCTATGGCCTCATTACTCCCTCGTCATCGCAACGTACACGAACCCCACTCTCGCAAAAAAGAGAGTGCTTTGGGAAACCCGAATCCTGCTCTCATGTGCAACAGATGGCATTTACCCCTCTCTCTCTCTCTCTCTCTCTTAAAATCTCTCTCTCTAGACCCCTCCTCCTTCCTACGCTCGCTTCATGCGTATGCTGATTGTACTTTCCCCACTCTCTCTCTCTCTCTGCTTGTCTCTTTGCGTTTCCCTTTTTCTTCTCTTTTTTCCCATGTTTTGAGATAAAAGCTCGTCGCACGGTACACCGTGCTCGAAATCGTGAGCCCTGGTGTTAATGGGCGTCTCTACAAATAAAAAAGACTTGTCCTTTTTTCCAGGTTAGCTCTCTCTCTCTCTCTCTCTGTCTCTTGGATGGGGAAGGAAAGCCGAGAAGGAAGGTGTGAGTGAGTGACCGCTGGCTTCGCGGTTTTTCACGGAGGTCGGTTTCGTTCGCTCGCTCGTTCGTTCGCTCGCATCTCTTTTAAGGGAAGAACATGGGATTCTCGTTGCGGTCGCAAGTTCGAGAGTTAGAAACGAAACGGAGGTGGCGTTTGAATTGAATTCCGCCTTTCGTTTGCTTCCCGAGCAGCAGCCTGGTTACTCTTCGCAATCCCTCTGCATGCGATCGTGACCGAATGGGGATCGGGCTTGAAGATGGGTTTAAAGTGTTGGGACTTTTCGCCCATCTTGTTGCTGTTATTGCTACACGCATGCATTTTGGCCGCGCTTGGATTTGGGATTTTGGGTTGGCTTGTGTTAAGATTTGTGTTGGTTATGCATGCGCGATCGTTTACGTGACGACGATGGTAGGTATTTGTTCGAAAAGGGGAAAGTGTTCATCGGGATGCCGTTGGAATCAAACTTTTTTTTTTTTTGGTCCAACCAGGTACCATTTCGTTCATTCATTCAAAGTGGTACTAAACAAGCGTTGAAGACAAGAGTCAAGGCATAATAAATTCCAAAAGTGTTGGGGTGGCTTAGATAGCCAATTACATGGGAGTTTCCTTTTCCGATTGGCCTTCGCGGTCCAATCTGCAACTTGGTTGGCTGTTGGAATCAAATTTGATTAACCGCTTTGTTGCTCAACATAGAAAGGTTGTCGTTATGCGAGAATGTATCTAACCGGTACCCTTCTCTCTCCAAGATTTGGCGGCGGATATTCGATGAGAATGTCTATGAGAATGCGCTTTTAGCAACTAATTGATGATGTCCGGAAAAGAAAACTTATATACATGCTGTAAACTCGATCTTTGACCTATTTAAGAATTCAACCGCAACCGTCAAGCACACGTGTACCGTCAATTTTGTGATCATGAACATTGGCATACATTAAATACATAGCGAAATGCTGGAATGTTGTGATTTTTTTTTTTTTTGTGACCCAGGGAACCCCCGCACGGCCGACAGCCGGGAGGTAAACCCTGGGGGCGACACGTGCTAGCCACCACACACGTGCACCGGTTAAGTCACCCTACGGCACCCGGGATTCGAATACTCAACCTTTTGCGAGAGGAAGAGTGCGCGCTCCAGCAGCGCCACCCAGGCGGGTGGTGAATGTTGTGATTGATAATCTAGAAATTTGAAATTAATTTTCTTACCTCTAAAATTTCTTGAGATATATAGATTAAATCTTACAATTTTTTTTTATTTTTTAACTTAAGTTGATTGCGGTTATTAAATCAAAATCTTTAAAGACCTCCCTCTCTTCTTCAACCTTCCGCATGGGGAGGACCCTCTCCTCCCTCTTTTGTTGATTTGATTTGTGTTTTTTTTTTCTTTTCTTATTTTTTCTTCGTCTCCCGATCTAATTTTGGATTTGGGAGCTATTCTCTCCTAATCAAAATCTAAAAGTTTAATAATATTTTCAGTGATTCGATACTCTACACTTTGTCCATATACAAGTCTTTTGTCTCTAGCTCCAATGGTGATCATAGGAGCTCTTACTTCTTGCCGAACGACAATATTATATCTCTATTTGCTGAACCTGTGTTTGGTTGTCTTCGAATGGTGTTGGTGTAGAAGAAGCTGAACTAAGGCGTGCACTGCCAACTGGCAACGCCATGGATATTGGAGAAATAATTTACAGAGTGTGCTCATCACTAACGAAGATATGAAATTCAGTAATCAGAAGCCAATAATTTTGCTTAACATATCCGTTTTTATGGAGTGAGAGTGTGCTTAGGATTTTTCGCTATCTTGTTGCTGTTATTGCATGCATTTTCTCCACACTTAGGATTTGGGTTGCTTGTGTTAGATTTATGTAAGTTATATATATGTGCAATTATTTTACGTGACGTTGATGGTAGGTATTTGTTCGAAAAAAGGAAAGTATTTGTCGACATCGTTCGAATCAAACTTAATAACCGCTTTCTTACTTAATATTGAAAAGATTGTCGTTATTTGAGAATGTATGTAACCGATATCCTTCTCTCTGGAAGATTTGACGGCGGCTATTTGATGAAAATGTTTATGAGAATGCAATTTTAGCAACTAATTGACAATGTCCAGAAAAGAAAACTTTTGTTGTCGGGCATAGATGTTATAAACTCGATCTTTGACCTATTTAAGAATTCAATCGCAACCGTTAAGCCCACGTGCTCTTTCCTTTTCGGGATCGTGATGATTGTCGTGAATTAAATACTTAGCAAAATGATGGAGTGTTGCAATTCACAATATAAAAAGTGAAAATAATTTCCTAACTGAATTTTGTCGAGATAGAGATAAGACCTTGCAAGTTATAACCTTTTGACATATAAAAAACCCTAGCCGCTTTCTCTTCTTATCCATCTTCTCAACTTGAATTGAGATTTTATCTCCTCATCTGATGTGGAAGTATTTTATTATTTTTATCTTGTTTCTACTTTTCTTCCTCATTGTTGATGCTCTTTTTTGCTTGTTGAGTTTATCTTCCGCTTCCATCAGTAAGAGTCAACCCGATGATTCAAATCCTCAAATCTATGAGATTCAATGGAATTGAAGAGTAATACGGTGAGTTCATACTCCGCTGGAAGCAGTTACACATCTTCTCCGAGTTTCGGAAGCTCTCAACTCCCGATCTAAATGTAGATTTGAGGCTCTTCTTTCCCGATCTAGATTTAGATTTAGGAGTTCCTTATAGACATTTTCGTGATTTGGGGGCTTATTTAATATGTTTTTGGTGCCTCCGTACGGTGACGGTATTGAGAACGTTGAATCTAAGCATACATTGCTCACTGGGCAAGCTGTAACTATTGAAGGAGATTATGATATGTGCTAATCACTTGTGATATGAGATTTAGTAGTCGGCCGCCATTTGTTCTGTTTCAATGTTGAGATAGTTTTGTTCTTGTAGGTTGATAGTGTGCTTATCATTGCAATTTGTATTGTACTATTCTACTTTACCGTTTGAAATTTGTTTTGTTTTGAACCTCTCACGTATCATCTTGAGATCTTTAGAGATGAACAAATTATTAACTTTCAACCAAAAAAAAAAAACTTAAGTTGACTAACCATTGCTTCCAATTTTCATAACACGGATTAAAGGTATCTCTAATTCCATATGGAATTCTATTTGTCTTGCTTTTGACAGGAAGAAGCGGCGAGAATGTGTGACCAGCCTCAGTGATTTTGGAATTTTATTATACGAGTTTCATATTCGTGACATAATGCTCGATTTAAACTATACCTATTACTTATTTGAGCGGGTCTGTTATCGCCATGCCCACTAGACCAATCACTGCGATGGTCTATTTGTCTTGCTAATTGGCATACAATTGTTGAAAAAAAACAATAAATTACATGAAATTTTTTGAAATTCGATGAATCAATGACACTATGACCTATTTTACCAATAAAATACAATAAATGCACAATTATATGAAAAATTTTGAAATTCGATGAAGCAATGACACTATGACCTATTTTACCAAAGATTATAATTGGTTAAATTATACAAATGGACCTTGAACTTAGATCCGATGTGCATTTATGGTTGTTCAACGTGGCCCTAAACTTTACCTCAATACGCAATGTCGAACCCTAAAATTTTAATTTATTTAATGTGATTCCTGAACTTATGATAAATGTTCAATCTAGTCCATGGACTATTACATTTTTGGATTCAATCTAATCTCTGAATTATATATTTCAGGAACTAAATTGAACAAATCAAAAGTTTAGATATCACATTGCGCATTGGGCCTAAATTCAAGAAAACCATTCGTATTATTTTCCCATTATAAATAATATAAGTGCAAATTATAATATCACACTTACCACTCATCTGGGTTTTGACTTGCTTTTACCCACATTGTCACAGGACTTGGGATTTCTCTTGGGCTATAAACACAGAGAACAAATTGACATGCTAAAATACCGGCCTATAAAAAAGAACGTGCGCATCTTTTGGACAGGGCCAAATAGCCTGGCCTATGTATCGCCACAAGTGCATCAGGCCCATCGTCCCGCCCAGCCCAAATTAGCCCAGCCCATTAAATCATGTACTGTATCGTCCCACTCCAGAGAAAAAAACTCTAGTGTCCAAGAAAATATTGGGTGCCTCTTGTGATTCCACCGTGGAATCATTGCAACCCTGAGGTCGCGACACGTGTCCTGTCACGCCCCGACCCGTAATCGCTTTCAATACTAATTGATCGATCATGACCGGACCGAGCCCATGACTTGCGGGAATGAGTTAGTATGTCTCGTTCATTTTATTCAATGCGCAAGCCGAAGCAATTCTAAATGAAACATCACAAGACAACATGAGCAAACCATTGCACGTTGTATTCATATAGCTCGTGCTTATTTAATAAGCCCGTTCTTCAGGCCCTTACAAACAACACACATATTTTTACATGCCTATTACAAAGGCTATAGACAAGCAAAAATTTGGCTTAGGTGATCCTACTCCCACTACTACAGCTCCTCGCTCTTTGTACTCCGTTCACTAGCACGTCTCCTCCCTAGTCCCGTCCGTTTGACCATCCTACGCTCCACCCATGAAGCTCCCTGGAACCGGCCCGCCGTTTTCGCCAAAGGGCCCGTTGAACCAGCACAGGGGTCCAACTAGATCTCCATTCGACCAGCACTACCACGCCACGTAAGTGTGGGGTACCAAGTCCTCGAGGCCCTCGTCCACCATGACATGGGTCGTAACCCAGCAGAAGACGCGGCGTTCACGGGCATCAATCACGTTGAGCACCTCAACTTGCATCTTCACGGGGGTGTCGAAACGGATTGGGGGTGATGCCATTCTACGGATATGAAAAGGGAAACAATGGGGAATGAGTCGGAGAGACCCAATAAGCGAACTCACTAATATCAAGCGAGGATGAAAGGATCGCCGTTAACATGAGTCGACTCTTACCGTATCGACATCGATGGCAAATCAATAGCAAAGCACATGCCAAAAATTAACAAGAGAACATCAAGCATGGCTATTACACGTGAGTTTCACTAGCCAAGTTCCAGTTTTTGTCATAAGATATTATCGTGAACATCCAATACACAACACAAGCAAGTCATGGAAAGAACCATTCACAATCAACCAAATAATCGAACACGGTCCAAGCAAATCACGTCCCAACGTATTTCATCTTCCTTTCCGGATATTAGGGAATTCACTTACTCAATACAATAAAACTAGAACACGTGAGAAACGAAGAAAGTGAGAGATGCGTAGCTTGAGCATGTGAACAAAGTGGGGTCTTTAATTACTCGTTTAGTTGAATTTCTAGGAACACGTTTTGCTTGTGGAGCACATGCTTTTTGTACAAATTCATTAAAACCAAATATTTCTCCAAAATTAAATGCTAAATGCTCAACGGAAATAAATTTGCCTAATTCTTCCTTATAAGTTTTTTCATTAAAACGAAATAAAGGGGAAGTGTTAGGATTGACGTACCCGGAAATTTGTTGTTGCCCGATATCGATTCCCGTTTCGGTTGGATGTTTGCTCCTAAGATGTCGTTTAAATGTTCTATATCATTGTCCACCTGTATATTTATATATTTTCCCACAATATTTACAAATTATATCATACCTTGTTTGACCAATATCAAACCTTTCCATTTTCGTGAAGTGATTCCAAATGTCAGATGTAAATTCCCGTTCCGCTTCCTTTGTTGTAGATATTTCGGCAGGAGGATGAAAACTTTCTTGCGTCGGGACGCGCTCCACATCGGGAAAAATGTTGATTTCATCATCTTGAAAATCTGCATATTCACGAGGATCAAAAGAATGATGGGATTCCGTCATGATATTCTGACCTTTGCCAGTTGGCACTCGACTTCCACTTGCCATTTTTTGAGTGGATTGAGAGAATTGAGCGGATTAATTTGGAGAATTAAGAAAGAATTGCGTGGATTGAGAAAATTGAGAGAATTTAAGAGAATTTGAGAGAATTTCGAGTATTGAGAAAATTTGAGACTTGAGAGAAGAGAATTTGAGAGAATTTGAGAGAATTGTGAGTATTGAGAGAATTTATAAGAAAAAAATGAGAAGAAAATTTAGGATTTAAAAAAAAAAAAAGATAACCGTTGCAATTTTGCAACGGTTATCTTTTTTTTTTTTTATAAATTTTTGCCCATTTGGGCGTTGGCCTTGGCCGTTGCCAGGGCAGCCTAAAGGCTGCCCTGGCAACTGGCCGCAAGGCGCAAGCCCGCCGTCTGCAGGCCCTGCTGCGGGGGTTTTTTTTTTTTTTTTTAAATTTGCCCGCAGCAGGGCCTGCAGACGTGCAGGCCCTGCTGCGGGGGGTTTTTTTTTTTTTTTTAAAAAAATTTTGCCCGTTGCCAGGGGCTGCCCTGGCAACGGGCCGCAGCAGCAGCAGCATGGCCTGCACCTGCAGGCTGTGCTGCAGCTTTTTCTTTTTTTTTTTTTTTTTTTTGAACTGGGCCCGGAACCGGCGGTTCCGGGCCGGTTAAAAAATTTCTGGAACCAAAACCGGGCCCGTAGGGCACGGGCCGGTTCCGGGCCGAAACCGGCCCGTGGCCATGACTCACGGGACTTGGGATTTCTCTTGGGCTATAAACACAGAGCACAAAGTCGACATGCTAAACTACCGGCTTATAAAAAAGATCGCTCGCATCTTTTGGACCGGGCCAAATAGCCCAGCCCCTGTATCGCCTCAAGTGCATCAGGCCCATCGTCCAGCCCAGATCATCCCGGCCCGGCCCATTAAATCACGTACTGTACCGTCCCACTCCAGAGAAAAAACCTCCAGCGTCCGCCATTATTATCGCTCTAACGCTCAGCTCCAGCTCACTAAGAAAATCATGCGACGCCTGTAGAGGACAGCAGCGTATAAAACCCCCCAATGGCGTTGCGCCACGCTGTCGCTCCACACCATTCTCCCTTCGCTTCGAGACCCCCGCTCTCGCCTGCCACTTTCGCTACCGGAATCGCTCCTCCTCCTCCAAAGAAGACCAACGCTCGCCTCTCCTTCTCCGTATCCGCTTCGTCAATGGCTTCTCCTCCTCCTAAGAAGGTACTGCACCGGCTTCTTCTTCCTCGATTCGACTGTTGTGTGGTACGAGCCGGACGCGGCGCGCGCTTATCGAGTGCATTTCTCCTCCGCGGGTGTCTCTCCCCTCTAGGTTTTGGTCCCGGTGGCCGACGGAAGCGAGCCGCTCGAGGCGGTGGTGACGATCGACGTGCTGCGGAGGGCCGGGGCCGACGTCACCGTGGCTTCGGCGGAGGAGCAGCTCCGCGTGGACGCGTGCGAAGGCATGAAGATCGTCGCCGACGCGCTGATCTCCGACTGCGCCGACACGGCCTTCGATCTCATCGCGCTACCTGTACGTGTGCAGTACGCTTCTCCCGCTTGTCTGCGTTCTTTGCTGAGTGTACATGGCAATCGCTTGCCTGTGGGTGCCGTTCGCTTACCAGTATTAGCGGATTAGTGACTCTGTTTGGTCGTTGACTGAGTGCGAAGCCACTGTGAACTTCTGTTGCTTTAGTTATTTTTAGCGGAATTTGGAGGCTGTACGTATTTAACCAGAGTAGGAATTTATTCGATAGATCATGATAACTAGCTGAAGCTTGCATAGGACTATCAATTGGTTGTCTATCTCAGATTGATTCATCTTACTGTACAGCTACTTGCGCATTCGTTAAGCACTTATGCATGCGCGGTTTGTCTGCTGTGGATATTGTATCGAGTACCAAAGTAATGATCTCAGTTTGAGTTGATATGTTTGGTTCTCATCCTATTCTTTAGGGAGGATTGCCCGGTGCTTCTTCCCTCAGGGACTGTAAGATTTTGGAAAACCTGGTGAAGAAACAAGCTGCAGATGGCCGGCTGTATGCTGCTATCTGTGCATCGCCTGTGGTGGTGCTAGGATCGTGGGGTTTGCTTAAGGGATTGAAAGTAGGCCCTGACTTTTCATATGTCGTTAATCACGATAATTATGATGATGACAAACAGATTTAGAATGTGAGGATGCTGGTTTTGACAGGCAACTTGTGCTCCAATTTTCATGGAGCAATTATCATCTTTGGCTACAGCCGTCGAATCCAGGGTGCAGGTAGATGGCAAAACGGTCACCAGTCGTGGACCTGGTACTACTATGGAGTATGCTGTTACCTTAGTAGAGCAATTGTTTGGAAAAGAGAAGGCGGAAGAAGTTGCTGGACCACTGGTATATATCTCCTCTGTGAACTTTATTTTTGCTAATGTAGTCTTCTCGGAGCCTTTACTATACTCTCTTAGAGAAGGTAAACGTGCTTTGGATGAGCAATGGCGGCATTCTGATTTTATGCTTAATTTTTCAATATAGAAGTTTAGCAATATTTGCTTCTCTGAGTAGTTCAGTCCATTCTTGTTCTTTCATCGCACTGAAATCACCCCCGTGGCCCTTGATTTATGAGTTAAATTATCCATGCCTTTTTCCTCTCCCTTTCTCGTGCATATAATTTGTCTTTCTTAGTACGCGGTGACAAAGTACAGTAAGAAACAATACGGGTATCTTTTATAGGTACAAAAATGTCTGGTATAGATTGCAGAGAAAATAATCAGGTTACAGCAACTGGGCTATGCAAACAGTGCCAAGAAGGTGTTAAGATGGCTGTGGCTGGCCCAATGACGCATAATGAATCATTTGAGGTAAGGTATGTTTAGAAGGAAGATTTCCTAAGCGCGAAAGTGGGTGGTCGAAACCATCTGAAGCTCATTATCTAGCTTGTCACAGCTGTACTCCTGCTAAAAGGATCTAAACAAGGGAACTAGCTTAGGAGATGTTTTCCTTGTATAAGTTATGGCAAGAAGGTGTCAAGGTGGTGCAAAAATGCATCATGAATGGTTCAACATCTTTTGGGGTAGGTAATTTTGGTAATCACAAATTTTTGGGGAATGGTTATGTGGTGAAAATCATTAATAGGATGACAATTTTCCCACCTTAAATTTATGGAAGCAAATTTCGCTGCAAGCACCATGTATTGTGTTGCACCTATTCTGCCATGGTGTGTTACATAAAAACATCAGCAATTGTTATCATTTTGGATTTGTCTTAGATATTTACTTGGCTCTTTTTTTGCTCTTTACAGGTGATGCGCTCCAATCATGGTGATGAATATCATATATTGGAACTGAATCCGATGGACTGGACTTTTAATCGAGGCCCTCAGCCTCAGGTAAATTTCTTAGTTAAGTCCATGATCTACAAATGAGTAAGTAATATTTTCTTTGCTTTCTTCTCTCTCTCGGTTTATTCAAGAGAAGCTCAAATCACCTATATTCTTAGATGTGCTGCACTGATGCAACTAGTCGTTTGCTGATGAGTCGGTCTTGTTTCGCTAATTCCGACATGGTCGTGTCGGAGCTTGAGTGTTCAAGGAATTCGATCTTGTTTTTCAAACTGAGCTGAGGTTTAGAATTTGTGGAGTAGCTCATCGACTTGGCAAGATTAAAGATGAAGCTTCATCTAGATAAAATCATATAGCGGATAATGAAATTTAAAACTTCAATTTCTCAGAGTTACCTTATTTAGTCCAAGTTAGCTTGAAAATGAACTTATTGCTGTTCGCTTGACAACGACCTTCAATTTTCTAGTGTGTTTTAAGGCTGATTCTTATCCAGGTTTATCTGGTTAGATCAGTCTTCTCAGTTTATGCACTTGTAAAAGAGTAAACCTCTAATCTGAAGATCCTGGGAAGTGCTAGTTCTCTAGTGCGCTGAAGACCGATCAAGGCAATGCAGGTCCATTTCATTGATGCAAATGGTCATCTCAGTTTGTGTGATTGTATGAAGAAGATAAATATGGTGACACTTTCGCTTGTGGATTTTTTACCACTATGAGTTTCGTATGACCACAAGAAGTCGAGCGAGTATAAAGTGGAAATATCATGTCATCTGGTATTGGCAAAACCATGAACTTAGCATAAGGTAGATACCTGACTGGACTTCTAAAAGATCTTAGTACTTCGATATGATTATCTGCCCACAATTCATAGGGGTGTTAACACTGTTTGTTTTATAATGATCTCTGAGTGAGGGCACACACACAAACTGTAAAGGTAAATAGTTGGCTTATGTGGGTTTGCATGAGTCTTATCCAATTGTATAAGTACCTGAATATAATAAAGTGTTTGCCAGATTGTTGATCATTTTGTTGCATGTAACATGATATGCGGTAAAGTTGTTTTGGTTTTATGTCCTTTCAGATTCTGGTGCCTATTGCCAATGGCTCAGAGGAAATGGAAGCTGTTATCATCATTGATGTTCTGCGGCGATCAAAAGCAAATGTTGTAGTAGCCTCTGTTGAGGATAAAGTTGAGATTGAGGCATCTCGCAAAGTGAAACTAGTTGCAGACATGCTCTTTGATGAGGCTTCTAAACTCTCATATGATCTTATTGTGTTGCCTGTGAGTATGGCTACCCATAGCTGTTTCGTGTCTTTTAATTAGTCGATGATTGCTTACAGTATGTTAATATTGCAGGGAGGATTGGGTGGAGCTCAGGCATTTGCTAAGTGTGAAAAATTAGTCAATTTACTGAAAAAGCAGAAGGAATCAAATAGACCATATGGAGCGATATGTGCATCCCCCGCTTTAGTTCTGGAGCCTCATGGTTTGTTGAAGGTTGGTTCTTTGCTGCATTGTTCGCCTTTTGTTTTCCGTTTTTCCAAATATGAAACCAAAATGACGACCGAACTTATGCACTTCGTTAATACGTTCTTTTATATCGGATTACTCGTTCAGATTGAAATTTGGACTAAAGAGCCTGTTCACATGAAAGAGAAACATTCCTCTATTTGGACTTGGAAATATTTTACTGTGTTAAAAATTGAAGTATCAGGCCTTTCCAAGTTTTTCAATTACAGGAAAGTTAAGATTTTGACCTAAATGGGCGTAAGTTGGCAGCAAACCAGATGAAATGTCGCTTTTATTTCAAGGTGGCTTCCAAGCGAAATCCAGTTTGGTTGGTTAATCTGCGACATGACCTTGGAAATCCCTGTTGGTGTGTTTGGTCGTGAATTCATTTTGCACTTCTTCTAATACTTATGAACCATTTGGTTTGGGGAATTAAAACTGTCTAATATAAATAGGTAAGCGATATCTTTCCTTTGGGGGAAGTGATTATTCGTTGATTTCTTGCTCGGCATCTTTACAGGGAAAGAAGGCTACAGCTTTCCCCGCGATGTGCAATAAGTTGTCGGATGCGAGCGAAGCTGAAAACAGAGTGGTGGTGGATGGCAACCTCATAACAAGCAGAGGGCCTGGAACATCCATGGAATTTGCATTGGCGATAGTGGAAAAGTTCTTTGGGCGCAAGAAGGTGTTAGAGCTCACAAAGGCCTTTATCTTTACTCATCCGTAGAGCCCTTCTTGACTGCTTTCATCATGTCAACTTGTAGAGCTGTGAAATACCCGAACTCATGTTCGGGTACCAAGTTTAGTTTCGCCAGCCACGTTTGTATGTACGAATAAGGCGTGAAGTGAGTCTGAGTTACTTGCTGTGCGTAACCCTCTCGTATTGATGTATGTAATCACCTCCGGGATGTTGCTCGTGCATCTTGGGGTTGTGGAGAGTATTAACTTGGGGTGCTTCTTGTTTTGCGTAAATTGGACTACCCTTTCCGCTTCAGCCGTGATACCTACGCTCCGACTCGGTCGCACCCGTCATGCATGGAGGTAATTCTCGAACCCTAAGCGCTCAACCGATGTCATTGCATTGACGCCATGTAGGGAAGCGTGTCAGATCCGTTCTGTGCTTCTGGTGCCGGCAATAAAGTTCCGTCTCTTTGCAAGTGGAGGATAGCGTTGCCATTCAATATTCAGAATCATGTGCAATTTAATAGCCGGCGGAATTGCCTGGTCCCGCGGGGTTTGAAATGTCAAAAAATAAGGGTTTTGGAAGAGGTCAGTCTCATGGGATGATGATGACGATTGGGGGTGGGAATGTGAGAGCTCGTGCTCCGAAAAGGATGATCGTTCTGCCTTTGCGTGCGCGACATGTCTACACTGCAGCCGATTCCCTCCGCCTAACCCCCTTTTCTCAATAAATTGAAATTAGCAACTCTTCATCATGATTACGGCAGTATGAAAACCCCAACATGTCCCCGCATTTTCGATTAATTCGATCTGTCCGTCGTCTGAATACGAGAAGGAAAATATGTTCCGAGTCTGGCGGCTTTCCATGCGGTAAACAATGTTTTAAATGAGAATGAGGAGGTGACGGTTGATGACACGGTAATCACCAACGGGAAAATACCTCTGTCTTACTTTTGTGTTTTTATTTATTTATTTTATTTTGTCCGTTGAGATATGTCTGGCAAGAGCAACGTGTGATCTCATGACTAGTTGTTTTCCTACAAAAGTGAAAAGGGAGACAGGAACACCACGTCAGAAAAAAAAAACAGAGAAACTAGTCAATCCAATGAAGAAATCGGTTGGGCAGTTACTTTGCAAAATATACATGGAATTCATGGTGGAATGGTCGGAGGTAAAATTTCACGATTACATTCAAGAGGCGATTATACAAAAATTACACAACAAATTGAAGATGAACGCAGCAAAAGAAAAAGATGAAAAGTGTGCGTTCTTGTTGTCTATATGGAATAATTGCAAAAAAAATCCTAAACTTATTGTAATTGTGATAATTCACTCCTAAACCTTTTGTATTTGTGTCAATTTAGTCTATACGGCCAATTTTAACCCTCCGGCATTGACATAGACGCCGACCGTCCGGCCAATGCTGACGTGGCAATTTTTTTTATTTTTATTTTTGAATTATTTTATTTTCTTTTTCCTTTTCTTTCCCTTTCTTTTTTTTTTCCTTCCTTCATCTTCAACCTCGGGCGAGGGCCGGCGAGGTTGGCCCCACTCGCCCCTGGCGAGGGCGAGGTCGAACTCGCAGGCAACTGGCGAGTCGGCGATTTCGAGCCTCGCGAGATCTGGCGGCCGCGCTTAGCCATTGGCGTCGATCGCTAGATCTGGCGTGGTGAGGACAAGCCTCGTCATGGTTGGGCAAGGCTTAAACTCGCCGTCACTCGCGAGGCCCGAACTCGCCAACAACTAGCAAGGTCAAGCCTCGCTAGGGGTGGGCAAGACTTGCCCTTGCCAAGGGCTGAGGGCCCAACCTCGCTGCCCCTGGGGAGGAAAAAAAAAAGAGAAAGGGAAAGAAACTAAAAAAGAAAAGGAAAAAGAAATGAAAAGAAAATAAAAGAATAAAATATTTAAAAATATTCAAAAATTGCCACGTCGGCGTTGACCGAACGGCCGGCGTCCACGTCAGTGTCAGCCGGCCAAAATTAACCAGATATATTGAATTGACACAAATTCAAAAGTTTAGTATTGAATTGACACAAAAAAAAGATTTAGGATTGAATTAGCACAGTTACAATAAATTTGAACTGTTTTGATCATTTTTCCTTGTCTAGATATATAAAATATTAATCATGTAATTGGATTGTGAGTGGGAAAGCAGATCCGTCCACCTCAAGATGGATTTAGATTTAGATGACACAATTGCCGCCACCGCGCCCCACCCCCAATTGATGCCCGGTTCACCTGCGTCACACGTCCGGTTGACTTTGCCATCGTGCGTGTGTCAATTACTGTGTCACTGGTTTCCTATGCCACCTCCAGACATCCGCTTTTGGCTGTGATGTAGTTCGAGATTTTGCGGGACAATGGCGGCTCGGCTTTCTCGTTGAGAGTTCTTTCACGAGGTAAAAACCACAATCTCATGCTTTACAAACACGCAGAAAAAAAAAAGAAAAAGAAAAAGAATGTTCAAAGAAGTATGTTTGGTTTCTCAATTTCATTCAATTCAAGGGTTCCATTTATTTCGTAAAAAATAAATGATTCGAAAAATATTTTACTGTAAGCAATACAAGCAATCATCCAAATTATGCATTTATCGCGAAATAAACGGATGTGATTCGCTCCAAGTATTGATGTTTTTCCTTTAGCCATGGTGATCCACAATTAGGGTTCGTTTGTTTAAATGAAAATTATTAATGGGAAATTATTTTCTGGCTTTCCTGTGTTGAGATAATATAAAACTAATTGATTTTCGAAATTTTTTTTCATAACTTGAAAAAGATTATATTAGGGAAAAACGACTTCCCCTTGTTATGGGAATGAAGTTACTTTATCTAAACCACCAAATAAATAAAAAAATATCTTTTTCTTCAAAAACGGTTTTCATGAAAAATAACTTTTTTTATCATGCAATTTGAAGTGAAATAAATACACTCCTTAAATTAACTTGATTCTTTTGACCAAAAAAAAACAATTAGCTTGATTCAGCCGAGAGATTGGTCAACTGCGAATGACATTGACGAAGTTTCTTTCCTTTTTCTCTCTTTCTTTTTTTTTTTCGCTCAAAATGTATAATATGATCGTTCAGACAAAAGGAAAGTCAATGAAGAGTTCCGGATGGCGGGCCGAAACGGGAAAAAGACCGAGTCCCAGGTCAAAGTTCAAAACTGCGTGGGACCCACTACCCGTGGTAGTGTCAAGAAGGTTGACTGTTCAAACCGGGAAATCCATCTTCTCCGACGATAGGCGACTGTTGAATGGTTGCTTTCGCTGTACCGTCTTCTCATTCTTCTTCTTCTTCTTCTTCTTCTTCTTCTTCGTCGGCCCCTCCTCTCCTTCCCCTCTTCCCAGAAAGCCGTGCCCGGCCTGACCCTTGCCACGCCGAGAAGAGTCTTTTTAACTGGGAACAGGATCTCGTCATTTCCCTCTCCATCCCGCTCTCTCTCCCTCCCGCCCTCCCTCCCTCTCTGAAACGAGCTCCGTTCTTGCTTCCTACGCTGACCCAGGTGAGTTTCTCTCGCCGCGCATCGCTTGTCTGTCTGGTTTTTACGCAGTTCGCGAGCGTGAAGAGGGAAATCGGTGTTTGCTCGATGGGGTTGGGTTGGGTTCGGTTTACCCTAGTCCGTTTTGACAAGGCGTGTCGAACGCCTTCCAATTGGGCGAGACGGTGTTGTTCTGTTGGAAGAGCAGTTCGATTTGGGGTTCTCTCATGCGTTCGTTCGGGGGGGAAGATCCGTTGTTTGTGTTGTGGCTCCGTGTCAAGTGATTCGATTGATTCATCCGGAGTTGGGACAAGTGATGATTAGACAATGAAAAACTGGGATGGGTTCTCAGCTGCCAACTCTGGGATGTGTTCGCTCTCGCAGTGTTTTGTACGTTGGCTAGGAAATTATGGAGCTGAGAACACTTTCAGTATCCAGTTTGAAGCATTTTAATGATAAGGGCTTAAAGTTATGGAGTAATTGAAACAAGAATGAGATCAAAGTCATTTGTTCGGATGACCTTGAGCTGCGCGAGGTTTTGCTGGATTACATACAAGGAACTTTCTTTTTGTTTGCTTCTTTTTGGGGCCTAAATACATGGATCTTTCTTAGTCGTCTAGTCTTTTCCATGTTTTGTTTGTATTTGAACCTGAAGAGGTAATGTCAAAGTTCTGCAAAAGCCACTGGAAGGACCTGAATGTTCTATTATTGTGAGTGCAATTCAATGTTGAAGTGCCAGTTTGCTGCTGAGACGCCTTGCTTTCTTCCGTTTTGCGAAAAGAGGACACTGATAAACATAAAGGTGCAAAGCATTTGCCATTTTGAGTTAAAAACGGTGGTTGTGTATTTAGGGTCCTCAGCTAAGGTACAATTTACTATTCAATATCCACAAATGTCCATATACTCGACAAAGAATTAGTAGGGCACCGATTTTCTCCTAGAAAAAACAATGGGTTGCAATTATTCACGCAAAATTAGCTTTCTTGCCTTTAGTTCTCTATCTATTCTAGTTGGGAAAGTGAAGGAAGTAAACAAATTGTGTAAGTAAAACCTATATGTAGATAAAGTCCAGTGGTGATTATTATTATAATGGTGGGCATTTCTTCATTATTCTTCAGGTATAAACATGCTTATTTCTCTCTGGGAATTGATTTTTCTTCTCATCTCTATCGTAGAATCTTGCTGTTGAGGATAGACCTGGGGCTAAGTTCGGTGCAACTAAAGATATCTGGTTATGAAGTGCTTTTCTTCATTTTTCAAGAGGAGGACTGCTTCCCCAGCTAGAATACCAGCTCGAAATAGTGTAGAACTTGATGAAGGTAATGACTCCATGCGTTACTCTCTGTTTGCAGCATTGAAGTTGACAATCGGTACATCAGTACCTCAAAGCTCTTCTCTCTTGATTGAGTTGGTGTAGAAGCCTTTAATATTTTAGACAATGCCAGTGAAAAATAATGCGATGTTATCATTGGGTGCTCTGTCCTTTGGATACTGAGATTCGTTTCTCCTAGTGAACATCTATTCGACAATTTTTTCTATGTGGTATTAACAACTCTGCTTTTTCTGAATTTGCTGGATTGTCGGCGTAATAGAATAACGGACTCAGCATTTCAGCTTTTTTGGTTACTGGGTATTTTTTGCATGTCTGACCTCTCCTATTCGAATTCCTTTTTATTTGAATGTCCAGATGTTTCATCCATCCAAAACATTAGAATGTACACATACAAAGAGTTGCGTGTGGCAACTGAAGGCTTTAGTCCAGATAATAAAGTTGGAGAGGGGGGTTTCGGATCTGTTTACAAGGTGATTACTCAT